CGATAGTGGAGAGAAGATACTGCAAACCGCAAGGAGCCATTCAATCACACAATTCCCACAGGTAAAGAAATGGCGTACCTGGCTTCGCTTGTGACGTCCACTGGTGACGAAGTTGACCATCCTGTAATCGTCAATCTGCCGGAAGCGGAACTTGTAAATAATTACAAAACTCTTGGTAAAAAACAAACCAATTCTGCGAGTGCGGCGTTGAGCTTTCCGTATCGTGGAGCGGTATTTGCGTTCATCTCCGACAGTAGGAAAACCGGATCAGGGTCAAGGTAGCTACACACAAAATTGTGAAAACAAAGTAAGTAATATTGGATTGGTAGCACGTACTCTTCGATGTCTCTTTTCTTGGCCACGAGATCCATCTTCGTGAGGACATTCACATGAGGAAGTTCGAGTTGGACCATAGCAGACAAGGACGACAGGCATCCACTTATATACTTGGTAACATCCGAAACAAACTGCACAAGAACAAAAGCAAACTTCTGTCTGTCATACACCAAATCAATCCGAGTAGGAGCTACCTGAGAATCAAGGAGGTAGACCGCGCACAGATTAAAATCCCAGCGCTTAAGTTGTTCGACGAGGCTTTTAAACACGGGGATGTGTGTGTAGAGCTCAATCTGACCTGTGTAATACCACTACAACTAAAACTAGTGAATAGAAACTACATAAACCTGGACAGTCGAAGACAACGTCATCGTCGATATAGTCTTCTAGTTTCTCCGCAAGCCAGTCGTCCATATTCTCCTCAAGATATCTACACTAGAAATGGTCAGCCAGAAATCCTTGTGTAGAAACTAACACCACGAAAGCTCTACTCAAATCTTACATGCAATAGATGAGGCCTCCGTTTGGTCCATAGTTAAATTCTTCCATCACATCCTCTAGAGGAACAAGCTCTCTTATATCTGATGAAAAATAGATCCAAACTAAAATCTTTGCAACACTGAAATCTTTACAGACCTGCAGCAACCGCGTATTTGAAATCCTCCGCCGCTGGCTCGAGATTGATCACATCCAGGTTCCGCCCGATCGTGTTGCAATGCTGCTGCAAATGGTAGCAATACGTCGACTGCAAGATCGAGATCAGAGATTGAGCACAGGAACCGCGAAATCTCACTCGCCTTGCCGCTGCCCGCCGTGGGCGTAGCGAGTCATTTTGAAAATGCCTAAGACCTAAACCTCGAGAAATATACTCGGTATATTCATTGACAGTTTTCTTTTCCAAATTAGGGTTAAGTTAACATCCATCGGACGGTTAGAATTCAACTGGGTGTTACTTGCGTTTGAGCTCTTCAGCAGCGGTGGCGGCTTTGAGCGAGACTGGATTTGTGGAAGCCTTCAATGGATTCATGGCTGTTCTAGTTTTTGACATGTTCCATGCAGTAGTGACAACATGGCCTGCGGTTGAAAGCCCCTCTTTTGTCAATTATCTAGAGCAAAGATTTCTCTTGATTCATCAAGCACAACAGTGATCAATCTAACCTGTGTGATACGACTTGGCATGTTACTAGAGTTTTTCACGACATGACGTTCTTCCCAGCCAGCTCCAAAGCATCGAAAACTTTCACTGCGATCTCACATACAATGTGATCATCCATTTTCTGGGAGAGATTGCGAAGAACTTGGCTTACCAAAGGCATCCAAAGTGGCAATTGCGGCTTCTCCACGCAACAGCCCGATCAATGCAGCCCCTGGCTTAGTTTTCAGCGCAGAGGAAGTGATCGATTCAGTGGCAGTGACAACTCCAGTGAGAAGACCACTCGCGAGCGTCTCAGTAATCTTTGAGATTTGCTTCGCACTAGTCAAAGAGCCAGTAAAAAGACTAGTCAAAGATAGTAAGCGCAAGAACTTACGTCCCGATGTTCTTCATTGTCTTGGGGCTGACCTTTGACGGCTTTTTTTTCGGTTTGATGTGCTTCTGCATCAACAATCCGCTGCGCTCCGATCTGCGTCGCAATTAGTTCGCTCACCCAGAGGATTCCTCGCACGATATGCCCCGAGCCACTGGCAATCGCCTTTGCGATCGCGCTTTGATAGTCATCGGCGTTGGGAGCCAGTTGCTCCAAGTAGTAGTTCTTCTTCTTCTTGTGAGCTTCACTCCAGCGATTCCTTGATTACCGTCACCTTGCACCATCTCCACGAGCTCCTCGTCTTGATCTTTCAGGAGCGCTGGAACTGGCACCAGCGAGCTATAGCTTTCGAGGGCCAAATCCAGCTCCTTGAGATCGCATCTCCAGGGAGGGTGACACCTATTTGAGAACTTCCGCGCTTGACTTAAACGAGACCTTCTGTTTCCCTTCGCTGGAAGGTTGATCCTCATCTTCAACTGGCAGTCTCAAGCTAAAAACGTAGTGACTCTCGCTGAGCTTCAAGACTGGAGTGTCCTTCGCCAGCGGCCACTGGAGCTCGTCTCCAAGCCTGACGATGGCTGCGACCACGCTACCGTTCTGGACGATCCTTATGACGCTAAGATCTCCAGACGCGAGAAGAACACTTTCCGATCCAGCCTGATCGTGATCCATGAGTAAACCTTTGCATTTGGAAGTGTGACGAGAACTTCCAGGATAGAATTTGCCGCCGTTAAAGCTTCTTGCTCCATGGATCCATCGCTGGCTACTTGAGCTGCTGCATTTTCCTCCTCGGATATGGCTTCCACCGCTCTCGCCAGCGCCATGTCTTGATCATCTTGAGAAAGCTTTGGCTTTTTGCTTGGACTCCCACCATGATCGTCTACTGCTTGCTCACTACTCTCTGGAGCATTCTCTTTCTCCTTTGCGCTGGACGAGCGAGTTCTCCTGCGAGAAAGAGCTAATCGACTCATCCACTTCACTACACTACCTCACTCAAACTGTGTATTCTTTCCACCATAAAGCGACTAGCTCCTCTTCTCTCTAGCAAAAAAGGAAGACAAAGCACTAGAATCGATCGGGAATACAAAAGGTTGACATACATTGTCCACTCTTGCAAGAGTTAATTAGAAGCAATATCATTTTAGACAAGCTTTCAGGAAGTTAGGAAATACATTGACATGGATGGAGCAAGTATCTCAAATCCAGCCTCGACTATCTGTATAATCTCTTGACCTGCAATTTGTATGAGTAGTGATATTTCCCAGGTAACATAAGAGGTCAGCATTGGTGCTCGAAAGAAGCTCAAGGTTAGGTAAGAAGATTGGAAGCAAGAAAGTCATCACGTACCAGATGGGTTTCTGGATTCAAGGCCATTGTATTCATGGCATAGCGCATCACCACCATTACGATTTTTCTGTCCTGGAAATCATCTGGGTAGATGAGGATCAAAAGGAAAAGGAATGTCGAAAGGACTTCGCGATCGATCAGCTGGAGCTTCCAAGACATCTCCCTATAACATCCAGCAGCGGCTCCATGCTCTTGCACGTAGAAATCTTTGGTGCGTAGGTACAGCGGCGAGGAGAGCTTCCTCCACAAAGGCGGAAGAATCCAGGTCGATCGATCGAAATAGAGATCGATTTCAAAACACACGGCCTGAAACAAAAAAATTTAGTTGGGTCTCTGGCTGTGGATTCGAACCTGTGACCTTGTCAATATTTTTCTTTATTCTATATCCGTGACCTTGCCAATAATTTTCTTTATTTTAGCCGGATATCCGGCCAACAGGTTCCCATGCAAAGCGTTCATTAGTAGCTTCTTAATGTATCTCTAATTTTTAAATGAATCGCAGTCTCGCTCGTGTTCGCTGCTCACGGACAGCGTAATTTCCGTAGAGAAGTTCCAATTTCTTGCGAAGTGTTCTCTGGAAGCGCTCCAAGTTTCCTAGGAAAAAGGTTATGATTGAGCATTTACTGCTCTTCAATGCCTGAATCTCGGGTACTGTTCTCAGATCTCTGCTTACCCTGGAGATTTTGCGAGTAAATACTCAACCATCTGTTTAAGATCCCCAATCTGCCAGATTTCTGCTAGCAAACACTCTTAAAACTCTCATGTCACCAGCAACTCTTGCAACTTCGCAGCTGTGACGAAGATTAACCTTGACAAATGCAAAGAGTTTTTGGCAAAGCTCATCTTGCCAAGAAATCCGAGCTGGATCCGGTAGAAGTTTTCTGAGCGTTTAACGGTGTGCTCCAGGAGACAAAAGCTGACAAATGTACAAGGAAAAGGCTGTGACGACATTGAAGCGAGACAATTCCATGCCTCGAGAGATTCCTCAATTCAAGCAAAGCGGGCGAAAAATGTCTAGATAATGCTTGTAGTCTGACAGGACAGTTGAAGAGAAGTACTCAATCGCTGGGTAGCTGCCCTGCAAAATTTCTGCTAGTAAACACTGTTAAAACTCTCATGTCACCAGTGCGAAGATCGAGTCCCTCTCATTAGAAACTTTAAAAAACAAAAAGTTTTAGTACTGTGGCGATTCTTTGCCTTATCCCTGGAATGAGGACACAAGAGCAGTATATAAGCCAGGGTCGGAAAGGATACATACTTACCTGGAGGGTCTTGGTGATCATGAAGGCCAATGGCCTGTTGGCCGGCCTACCATCTTCCCAAAGTGGAGGAGTGGATGTCGTAATTTGTGGGAGTTGAGGGCTCGCATATGCGTGGCCCTCTCCAAATTCAAGCTCTTAAGATGGAAACGTTGATTTCTGCTAAACAAGAGTTAGAACAGCAACTTGAATCTTTCAATCTTTATGATCTAACAAACAAGTTTTCAAGTCTCTGCGATCCCTTGCTGGAGAAAGTGAAGGACATATCGTCGTTTTCGATGTAGCCACCAAAGTCACTGTTCTTGGCTTGCCAGGTGCCTGACTATGAAGAGCACGGTGTCTAGATCGTCCAGTGCTTATAAGCAAAGCAAAGAACAAGAAATCAAAAGGAGCTTATGTGTGTGAACTAGTGGTGCTCGAATGCTGAATCCTGTGATCCACGCAAGAACTTTGTCAATGACATGATAGCAGAGAGTAAGACTTACCTGTAGCATGAAATCGACTCTAACATCGGGACTTCCAGACAGCCTTTCCATCACCATACTACCATAGCTTTTCTTCTCTTTAGTGGGACTCTCCTCATCTACTGCAAGATCATTCGTAACTGTGTTAGAAGCGAATGCCAATGACACAAGAAGCATACATTTTCTATCCGAGCTTATCTTGAGCTCTGATAGCAAAACTTACAATGCATCCCAATATGTAGAGGCTTGCCTCCTTTGTGGTATGGAATAAACTCCGGCTTCTTGTCGACGAAATCCTTTGATATCAGAGGTTCCGCTCTGTAATCACGAAGAAAGGATAGATGTAAATGCTTCTAACACAAAAGTATATTGATACCTGTAAGTGACAGGATCAAATGGTTGAAATATGCTCATCATTTTCCTGCATGCTGGCACTTCTTCTTTGATGCCTTCATCTTCCCATTACTCATGACCCATTCCTACGCAAATGCATTCAATATATGTTGCAACGTCCGTAAATCACACACGTACCCGATTCAAAGTGTACATTTCGGAGCTGAGAAACAATCCCAGTGGTGGTCCAACTGCGAAAAACGTGTCCACCTACAAGAAAGAAACTTATCAACAGCAAAGAATCAAGCCACCATGGTGTATCTGAAACAAAAGTTTTGTGTACTGAATTCGAGGGGTATGGTATTTTCAAGAAGGAGCTCGCTCTCCTTGTTTTGTTCCCAATGCTGCATTTGTTCCCAGTGACTTGAGTTCCTTTCTCAAGATCTCAACCTGCAAGCACAAGCTAGATCATATAGAAATGCCACAGGAGATCACGTTCTTTTACCTCTGAATGTAATGCCTTGACTCTCTTCGTCTCCATGTCACTATCAGTGTCAGCTTCTGTAGTTGTACTAGAGTCTGATCCTTCCTTGCTACTGTCTCTTGAATCATGATCCGAGGAGTGACCAGGTTGCTCTGGCTCCGGTGGACAATGAAGCTCTCAAAACAGCTCTTGTGCAAGTGCAAATTCACCTTGGACCACCATATTACATATAGCAATTGCATCAAAGATATCCCCATATTCCATAAGAAATGCAAGATCATTAGGCATCTGACCAGCCTTCAGTGTTTTCCACCACACATTCCGAGTTATCAACCATGACATTCTTTCACTTTGCTTCCTTTACCACCTTCATTGCATTGCCAAAACTCGCTTTGCAACAGTGGTAAAGCATTGACCTGTAACATCACAT